CGCGTGCATGAAAAGCTCAAGCGAGTGTTTCTCAAAATGATGGATCCCTTTGAGTTGGTACTCAAAGTCAGGACCAAGACTTTGATATGACTAAGTCGCCCGCCGTAGCCCAAGCCATCGCCATAGTGCGTGGAGGCTGGCGCTATGGTTGCCTCGATCGCTTCGGTCCACGGGCTGACTGGATGGGATGATTTGCGCGTGCAACATATCGCTGCAAACAAGGCCAGGGCCAGTTTTGTTGGACGGGGGTCCAACTTTGGAAGTGTAAGTTTTAATTACAATGAACACCGCTCTTGTTGGGGTCCAATGGTTCACAGCCAGAGTGTGCACTCAATACCTCGTAAAAGACAAACGCAAAGCCATTGGCCACCCAACAAATCGCCACTTGGGGAGGTTCCAAAAGGGGAGAGGAAACCACTACAGTCTACAGGTAACCCTTCCGTATGGCTATCAGGCTTTAAGCCTTCCGTATGGCTGTCAGGTTTTACCCGGAGAAAGTTGCCACCACAACAATCATCACTCCGGAAGGTTCCAAACCTGGAAATGGCTCGGAACCCTGTCCTTGACCCCCTAAAACAACCCACCTCCATGCGCTTCAGCCGGCAAAAACACAACAAATATCACGTATTTCCACTAGCGATGCACCATAGGGGATGGTTTGCTTCAGCAAAAAGAGACACGAATTCCCCCCATGAGCTTCAGCCTTTTTCCCCAAACCAACCCACCTCCGTGTGCAAATAACACAACAACAAAAAAAACAAGAAAAAGCAGACTTTTTCCCCTACTCTTACCCCACGGCTGGGTCCACCTGAGGAACCCCCCGGTCCGAGTCAGACAGCATGCCTAGGCCGCCGGGCCATGGACGCCAGGCTCACGGAGCTGGGCCTCTCGCTCCTGACAAAGACTTTTGCGGAGGCGAAGAGCCGATGCGATGGTGGTGGAAAAAAGGGCTTCGGTCAGTGGTGTGCTATCATGCTACGTCTTCTTCTGCTTCTTCTTTGTCTTCTTCTTCGTCTTCTTCTTCTTATTATTATTATATACATATATATATATATGTATGTACATATATCATGATTGTTATTGGTATCATGATGATTGGTACCAGCAAGTTAGCTGCTGTTTCCCCAGATTTGGGGTTGTTGCCCAGTACTGTCCCGAGTAGTTCGGTGCGGCAGCCCGGGTTTGGGGATGCCACCTGCGCTGATGTACTTGGAAGGGGTCATGAACGGGTCACTCCCTGCTTTGATGAAAGGGACAATGAAGGAAGTCTTGTGTCAGGGGATGGAGCCGATGAGATGTTCCCAGTTGTTTGGAGCCCATCAGCATTTGTACCCAGGAATCACTGGCTTGAGCCCTGCGTCGCTTTGGAGCTTGCTCGTCCCAAGTGTTTTGCAAGGTCTCCTTGATCAAGGAAATGGTTGCAAACCGTCGGAAGTACATCCCAGTGATTTCACGCAGTATAGGAGCTATCGGAGCATTCAACCACGACAAAGGAACTGGCTGGGTCCCTGCTCCCGGCTTGGCGATCTGAGGCATGGTTGGTTGGATGATCGACACCGAACTGGTCTAGGAGTTGTGGTGAAATGGCGAGTAGCAACAGTTGCAAATCTGGAACAAAGGGGGATAGCTGGGGTGGGGTTGACTTGCGGCTTTAACTTGGGGATACTAACTAGTTGGTACATTCCTCCCGGACCACTGCTTGCGTCTCAAGCTGAACAAACTAGGGGGGCCGATCACACATTCAATGTTCATATCAGCGAGTGACAAGCTGCCGCCCTTTCCAAAGGGTGGATTCTCTTTATCCACGGTCATACGGTCATCATCAAGTTGAAAGTTCAGAAATTGGGTAAGAGCTCCTTAGCTCTAGTTGTTGTTGTGGTTGTTGGTTTTGAGCAACTGATGTTGGTATCGTACCCGGAAGTTAGGGTGACGACCCCATCGTTAAGGGGGCTCAAAGAAAATTATCAGGTGGACACATCGGAGTTCGTTCAAACAGGCTGCTAAACAAAGAGGTCTTGTTGCCACTCATTTCGTTGACATTTAGCGCCACCTTCAACAGGCTCGAACCCAACCTGTAGGGTCACGAGTTCGTCAAACTTTCAAATCATACGGTCAAAGAGGAACGTGAACATTATTGCTGGCCCGCGCCCATTTGGATCTTGTTCAAGTCCGCCGCCCGTAGCCGAAAGAGAACCACCCCCAGTTCTGACTTTGACCCCAGAAAATGACAAAACACATGGGAGCACTGGCTTTTAGCATTCACCAACTACGAGAGACCCCAAGAAAAGGAACCTTCACGGGGCCTCAAACTGGTCGCAACACTCATCCGGTCGATGTAGCTTCTTCGGTCCACACGACTTGCAGAATGCCAAGGCCCCTCACCATGGTTGCGAAATCCCTTTGCACCGCGAAATGAAACCATGGACATGAAACCATAACGTTTGCTACGGTATTTACAGGGGAACCATCAGAAACCAAGGTTTCTTAGGTGATGCAGCGGTTTGTCCATCCACAGTACTACCTCAGCGTTTGCCCTCCGTACTATGCTAGATTTTGGCCTGGTGCGCGGTATTTAACTGCAGCCAAAGCGACATCAGCACCGGCGCCGGTGCCTCTTGCACCTGCCAAGCTCTTTCATGCACAGCTCATCTCAGTCGAAGGTGAGTTTTTGTGTCATAGCACAGTTTGTCTCAAAATCCTGGGATTGATATCCCTCTCAACAAACCTAGAGAAGTACCCTCGAAATAGACACGCACGCGATGTTTCTCTTGATTCCACCATCATGGGTTTGAACCCGCACAAATCTGGCAACACAGGTTTTGAGCAGCCTTCCAGCCTTGACGCGTTGATCCCAACCATGTCTTCAAATGTCTGAACCAAAGCTGAATCCCTTCAAACAAGAAATCGGAACAACACAAACAACCCAAAACAAACACCTTTCCCTTGGTTCAAAAAAGTCAGCCCAAACCTTTCCTTTGGTTCAAAATAGCCTCGCGCACGAAAGCGCGAGCTCGTGCGCCTTTCCGCAGCGGCACACACTGCAGCCTTGCCTCGGCGAAATCGTGCGAGTCGACCAGATGGCTGGTTTCCGATTTTCCTCAGTTGTCTCTTAAGGACCTCGCAATAAAAGCTTCATCTTTTGGGGCCAACATGGACCAAATCAGGGAACCAAAAGGTCAGATAGGGTCGCTTGCTTTGGGCAACTGAGATTCGTGTTCTCTTGGTTTCCGATTCACAAAACCCCAACAGCTCAATAGCTCGGATCGTCGAGCCAGAGAGCTTCTTTGTTGCGGGCCGAGCTTTTGTACTAATCTGAGTAGGGACCTGAACGCTGCTTGTCTGCCACCCCTAAACATGCGTGGCTGACCATTTCTACCAACCCCCAGAAATCTTCTCATCATGTGGTACCCAAAGCTGGCGCACCTCGTCTTTTGGCCCCCAATTAAGACTCAGCAATTTTGAAGGGCGCATCCACGTTGCTTTCCTTCGGACAAGATTACTTACCCAAAGATTTCGGGTAGTGCACCCTCCGCCCCTCTTTATACTCAGTTGCCCAAAGGACCTGGAAATAAAAGGTTAACCTTCTGAGACCATGACTCAAAATGGACCAAAATGAGAAAACCAAAAGGTTAAAAGGCTGGCTTTGGGCAGCTGAGTATAGGAAATTTGGGTTGGTGGAGATTCTGTTCCTTCTCGCCCTCCTCTTCGGTATCATCTACGCCTCAAAAGACCCCCCCCCCCCCCCAATAGTCCACCGTTCGACCCCACCCCGTCTGTTTTTGGGCCAAAGAAAGCCCTTGTAGAACTCCTCCAAGGCATCCCTCTTCCTTCAAAGGGTCAAACACCCAAGCACTGGCTTGTTTTGACCCAGGTTTCTTTTGGGAGTCTGCAAGGGAGCTCCCTAGGATTTGCGAGAAGAGGTGTTCCGAAGATCTCACTTCCTGAGTAGATCGGCCTAAATTTATAAACATCAGTTTCTTGGTTTACCGCTAATATGGTCTTCCCAAAAAGTGACCTCAGGCCAGAAACTCAGGATTGGGAAGTGAGTTTCTAGCAGTTCATGGTGCGCATCTGTTGGGAGTCCTGTGGAAAATCTTGAAACCAAGTAGGCCGCAACAAAACACCAACCTGACATGAGGAATCTCCAGGTAAAGGACCTACTTCTTGGCGAGCCCGTTTTGCCCCCAAATCGGTGATGTACAATCGGGGGTTCTTCAAGAAGTGTTTTTTTGGTTGCTCTTCAAACCGACCTGAAGAGGGTACTGAGCCTCGAACAACTCTCACACACACACAGACACACACTTGAAACATACCTGTAGGGAACCATCTTTTATGGTTCCAAAGCACAACCATCTGGAATCTGGAACCCTCCGCCAAGTCAGCACCCAAGATGGCCAACCCTTCGTCACTTCTCTGAAGCTGCGGCGGGCATGGACTGCCGCATTTTGTGCAAAAGCCGCTCACCATGGAGGTCGCCTGAGAAGATGTTGGGAGGGGTGGGCTGGAAACCTTTGAACATGTCGCTTTGGCTCAAACGAAGTTTGTTTTTCCGAAACGGGGTCAGGCTCTGCCAGACCCGGTCTGGCTTATTTTGCCACCAAAGCAGGGGCCTCCCCTCTGAGAAAAATGGGCGCTACGAGTCGGTTGAACCTTGCATGCCAAATCTAGGGGCCAACATGGGAACCAGACATTTCGCACTCGTGGTGGGTGGGAGAGGGGGGGTGGTGCTGGGATAGGGGTAGGAAGTATTTTTTCGGGTTCCGCTTGCGGACCAAACCTGTTTATATTCCTGGGTTCTCAGCAAGGGCCGAAGCCCGTAGGCAATGAACCACCAAACTGCTAACGTCCTTTTGTCTTCCAAGATTTACTCCGAACTCGGTACTGAAGCCAAACCAACGCTCTACCCTCTGGATCCCGGTAACCCTCCCTTTCGGCCACCTGGGCATGCCTCCTTCCAATCTATCTATCCGTTTTGAAAAGGGTTGAAGGGAAAGCGAAAGTGACACCGCTCATTTGTGTTTCAAGCACCCGAGGAACAGTCGCAAACGCGCGTACGATCGTGGAGCATTCCCTACCAGCATAAGTTACTCACTCTCAGCCCGGTGGCTTGAGCCCGGTGGTTCGGAGTTTAGAAGCGGGAATGGTCTGAAGGGAACAGGGGTTCGCATCCCAAGCCAATCCAAACTTCCAACTAAGGGTGGCCTGAGGAAGGGTCTTTGAGGGAATCAAAGGCTCCCCAAACAGAAAACAAAGGCTTCTTGAGTCTAGTGTTTTCATCCCAACAAGCTGTCTACGTTTCTCGCGGGAACTTGCTAAGGGAAATCACAAGGAAGCCCATGTAGCCATGGGGAAAAACGCAAGACAACGGAAAATGGTTGGGGTTTTGGGGGACTTTGACGTCCAAAAAAGGGGAAAACAGGAAACGCTCCACTACAGTACTGGGTGGGGTTTAGTGGAATTTAATGGAGATGGCCGTTTCGTGAAGAAAGGTCGGCCGTTTAGTGGAGAAACCAGTTAGTTCCAGCGTTGGGATTACACCAAAGCTGAGGACTCGGCTGTGCTCCCTCTCATGGTCACATGGTCCGCTGGCACCTCGGCAACAAGCGACCCGAATAGAAACAATGGGGAATCATCTCTCTTTGAGATCCGTGTTGAGGGAAGTCGCCAAACATACAACGGATTTAGCGTGCCACACACACAAAACATGGGGTAGCGGACGTTGATGGCTAATTTTACCCATCAACACCATCAACAATAATTCATTTGTGAGTCTGGGTGAATTTTAATGATTTATCCATTCGCTTCCTGTGTGCAGTGGCCAAAAAAGGCACACTAACTCTTGTGCACGAGTAACATTGTAGTCTCAAACAATGACTTAAGCACAGAAACTCGGGAAGCAACGTGCGCATCAGGAACCTTCAGCATGAGCTTGCGAATCCCCCCGTCAAGTCGAACACAAAGCTTGACTCCACTTGCCAACAAAAGGGACAGGGCCCCTATTCGTGCTTCTTTAGGAAAGTCTTTGGACCAAACCAAAGGCGAACCGAAGCGCCAAAGTGTGCTTGGAGACAACAAGCTGTTTCCTCTCATTCGTGAAAGCTAGGGCAGCCAGCAAGCTGTTGCCCCATGCCCGAACATGGCAATGCGCCGCCCATCTGTGGAACAGGTCTCCCTATACTTCCCCATGCATAACACCAAGGGAACTCAAACAAAATGTGGCTCCAGCATCTGATCTTCAAACTGGGCAGAACTCAGATCCCCTGCTAAAAGTTTAACGTTCAGTGGGCCAATTGGAAACCCCCACTAAGCCCTACAAGCCCAAAAACTCAAGGAACCGGATGGCTGGACGCCACCAGGTAAACTGACTAAAAAGGGAAATGCCAGGGACTCCGGTGGAAACGACCCATGACCTGGGCAAAAGGGCTCGATGCCTGATTCAGGAGTCTGGCAGCATGCTTTTGAACTGAACCTATGGTGTCCAGGAATGGGATGGTCAATGTCCCCATTGGATAGATATATACATATATATGTACATATGTATATATATATATATATATTTACATTATATATATATGTATATATTATATTATACACATCCTCAACATCGTGCATATGTTTGCTGTCATAGAGAAGGTAAACAACCAACACATAGCACTGTATTTTACAGTGGGCATCTGCAAGAACGAGGGACACAGATTAGAGTTGACAGCTTCAACTAGAAGAGAAAAGGTAGGCCTTCCGGGGGGGGGGGGTGACCATACACATCCTCAACATCGTGCTAGCCTGGATGTAAGCGCATAAAACGTGTATATCCCGCAGGCATGCGCGCAATTCGGCCTCTAGGAACAAAAGCGCACCTGAGTGTGGGCAGTGAACTTCGAGAGGAACCCCCCCTCCAAGCAAACAATAACCCAGTACCCCCCCCCCCCCCCCCACAACTGTTTTTTCCCATGTCAAACATCCCGAGTACTGTCCAAAAAGCAGCTGTTTGGGGGGGGGGGGGGCTGGACAGAAACAACGAAACAACGCCTTTGAAGCTCTGCAGAAGGATGCAGCACCTTTTGTCAACCAGAACGTGCACTCTCGTGCCTCAAAGACCGGCACCTCGCCATTGCAAGCCTTTGGCCTGCGGGGGATCGCATCACGCGTCGCTTCAACCCTCCAAGGATGGGGGGGTAAGACGGCAAGGGGGCTTCCCCCCAAATGCACTAGGGAGCCGACCAAAGAAGCAAATGTCAGGGCCCGGGCTTCATCATTTGTGTATTCTCCGACTCGGCAAAAGTCACGACTTGCTTTACTGATACTGACCAAGGTACTCGTCCCAGGATTCCACAACAAGTTTGAAGGGGGCGGATTGGGAGGTGCGGTTCAGGGGTGGGGGCGGATTGGGAGGTGCGGTTCAGGGGTGGTAAAAACCCTGCTGGATTGGTCAGGGCCTCTGATCTTAGCCATGCTCTGTGGGATTGTACACCTGGAAATGCAGGCTTGCAAAATCGCTTCTCACCGACTGTTGGCCGACTTGTGCCAATGTGGCAACCTTATCACATCAGCAACAATCCCCGCCCAAATCTTAGAATGCCAACAAACACTACGCCTGAAGATAACCCCAGAAAAAGGAACGGCGGCAACATAAATATGTCACCCAGCTACCAAACAACGACACACACACACACAGCAGCACATGCACTCATGCAATCCGACTACTAGAACCAACAAATTAATCCATCGAATCACGAACAACCAGGCAAAACCAACCCAACAGCCCAACAGCCCAACAGCCCAACAGCCCAACAACACGAAAACCGCGGTCTATCCATTGCCTCACATCTCTCTCATTGACCCGGATCACCGGTGCCTGGCAAACCGAAATGCGGCGACGAATATTAGGGTCAAAAATATTTAGAATTGAAAGAAGGGTCCATCTGTACGATTCTGCGTGATTTTTTTGCCACTTATATTAAGTGTCCGTGGATATGCCTCCCAAAGTTTTCGGAGCTTGCGGCGGATGTTGTGGGAAAAATGTCGCCGGCTGAAGTGCCTCTGTTTACCCCCCGCCCCCCCGCTGCCCTCACTTGTTCCCTCCAATTTCAAGCAAGAACTTTGCGGGCCCAAAGGGCGCAGCCTTCGAAAGCGCGGCATTCTTTTGATTCGACTTCGACTCTTCGACGTTCTGCAGTTTTCTGGGTTCCTCGCCACCTAAGCGCGTTGCCAAACTGGCGGGAAATCGGGGCACGACCTTTCTGCAAGTCACAATCAAACCGGGTATTGACATGGTCTACCCAAATCCCATGTAGGGAATACAAAGGCGGCCGCAGCTGCTTCTGGCAGGGACGGTCCCTGACTAACCTTCATCTACCCGGGTTTTGAGCAAGTGTGCTCAGCTCCACAACTGAACCGCTAAGGGGAATTTTCCCTTTGTCAGGGGTTTCTCAACAGGACTTCAGAGGCCAGAAGGACTCACAGGGAGTCGACAGGGAGGCCGTTTTTTGTTTTGATTTTAAAGGCGGTGCCCTCCTCCCGGCAAAGCCCGCCCAAAAAACCATCGGAAGCACCAACTGGCTGCCAACTTTTGCCTGGTCCACTAGGTGAGCTCGTTGTATCTTTCCCAGTGAGATGGATTTGATCTGAGCAAATGACTATCGTTCCTAACCGGAAATAAGCAATCATCCAGCAGTGGGCCTTCGTCATTGAGTAAATCGCTTCCCAAATGGTCGGGGCTCCTTTTGCCCCATCCGAAACCAACCTTCAACAAACAAGCCAAACTACCCCCAAAAAAACAAAAACAACAACAACAACACAAACGCAACAACAACAGGTGCCCCGTTGAAACCAAGAGCACACATATCCATTCCGCAGAAGAAAAAGAGGAACAAACAAAAACAGCACTAGCCCCGTTCGTCTCCCACGAACTGCCTCCAGCTCGCAGGAGGCCTTCAAGGGCGGCAGCTGCCCGAACTGCGAGGTCCTAGGACTCAGCGAGGAAAGCCGAAGCTTGGCCGCTGCTCCATTTGTGTTTTTGCCCCTGGAAAAAAGGAACATCTTTCCAGTGGTGATCGATTCCCTTAAAACCAACAGGGGAAAGTAAAACATATTCTTAAACAAATGGAAGTGCTGCTGCAACGACCCCTCTGCAAAAAAGGCTGAGCACGAGCTTTGTTTCTGGCTTTTCTGGTTCTGCTGAACACGACTCCCTTGGAAAGCTTGAAGGGAAAGCGTGCGATGCTCTGTCCCGCAGATTTTGACACATTGGTTTCCTTTGAAGGTTTTCAGAGTGGAGGATGTTGAGCGCTTCCTTTCACCCGTTTTTGGTTGGTTCCAACAACATGGGGGTTGATCAAAAGCGTGATATATGGGATGCCCATTCAAGAAAGCCACTACAAACACGATAGTTCCCACTAAACAGGAAAAGCTACCCATGGCCGTTTGGTGGACTGGAGTATTGATCAACCCCCCCATGGTTAGCTATAACGGTCGTTGTTCAAAAAAGGGGGACCGAAGTCACCAAACGGACATCCTTTTCGTTTATGTGGGCCATGGACATGGTTCCCATGACACACAACTTGGCCATCCGTAACGCTGAAGTTGGTAGGGATGGTCATGGACCCTTGGATTATTTTCAGCCCTAAGCAACTGACAGCATGCCCTATGTTCGGTTGGCTTGTGTTTAGTTCGCGCCGAGCACGTCGGTGACCGTGGAAGGTTTTGGCAGCGTATCTTCAAATCTCATGGCAGGGGGAGCAAAACGGCCACATGGCCCAAAACAGGGGTCCCAAGCACTATTTGTTGTTGTGTTTTTGAAGTGCCACAGCATCCCCCTAATCATTAGGCCCTAATCCTGCATCCGAAATGCATCTGTTGTTCACCCAGCATACGCTTGCAGCTTGCTCAGTGCCCAATGGAGGGCTCGGTCTCGAAAACTCCTGGCCATTGTCTTCTGCCGCACGGTGAGGCTGCAGCACGAACCATTCCGTGCTTGGATCCAGCAGGGTAGCCTGCAGCTCGCCAGTCCCCGCTCGGTGAAGCGAGCACCGCATCAAGGGTCAAGGCTATGGCTCGCTCCGCTGCCAAGACTTGTGCAAGTCACCAGTCCGTTGTGCCCGCAGGTACCTCGATCGTCCGGCACTCAGGCACGGGTGCACACACGTACACACACACACACACACACACACACACACACGTACACAAACACACGTACACACACAAACTGTTTTGGGCGGATGCAAAGCAGGCATGTACGGAGCTAGCGGGAAAAGTTTGACGCACATCGTCCGAGTGCTCAAAGATTGGACGAGTGGAAGAGTGGTCAAGGATTGTACATTGCAAAATATGGACACTACTGTGGATGGACGAAATCCTGCACCACCTAAGAATCATTGGAATGTTGATTCTCCTTTAAATACCAACAAACAATGATTTCCCATGGTTTCAAAGTGGTGCAGGATTTCGTCCATCCACAGTATTAGCCAAAGGCGGGCAGTCGCTGCTACCGGGGGGCACCCCCCCACCCCTCCCCCCACAATGCAACCGAATCAGGGACCCATGCTGGCCAACATGCCAGAAAGCTCACGGTCGTTTGTGTGCGCGGTACCTTTTAGTTGCGGGGGCGAGACGGGACAACTCAAACTCCCCCGCAACCTGGGGTTGGGATATTTCTGAAGAGAAAGCTCTGTTTCACTTCAGTTTGCGTTTAAAGTTAGCACAACAGTCTTGCCCGATGCTTCCTGTTGCCGTAGTAGATAACAAAAAAAACATCATGTAACACCAAGAGGTAAAACAAGCTGGCTGTTTAACTACTATAGTGGCTTGCCTGGAAGCACAGGGTTCGACTTCTTCAATGGCACTTCCAGGTTTCCTTTCGGGGTCTCACCATCCAAGTGCCCGAGTTTGAGGCAACTTCTCGGAGCGGAGCGAAACTGCTGGGCACCCGAAACTTCCTGGGAGAAAACCGCACCGAAGCCTTGGTTGGGGGTTGTTAAAGAGCAACTGGACTACTTTTGGAGACCCCTGTCAAGCTCATTTTTGGGGAACAAAGCGGGTTCATAGTCTTTGACTTCCCTCAGGGGCTTAAGGCGCTATCTGGGTGAACTGAAATCATCCAGCCGAAAATCAGGGACAGGACCCTTCATCATGCAATGAATGAGTCAACACAAAGTAGTACTGGAGGTATCCCCAAACACCCCCAAAACCCTCTGGAACCCTTCACAACCTTCCCTGCAAACTGCTCCCAACCACCCGACCCTGGGCAGCGACAGAGAGCCCTAGCTTTCTGCTCGCATGTACAGCAGCCGAGGGTCAGAGAGTTGCCCACAGAGTTTGGCGTCAGAGTCATCGCGTTGATGTCGACCTGAGCAATGGACCCCCACACGCTTTTTCGGGCCCAGAAACAAAAGGGTGAATTGGACGTCCAGAAAGCGGGGGTGGGGGTGGAGAAAAGAAGAAAGGGTTGGGCCCCCACTCGACTTTTTGGTCTCAAAACCCCAAGCTGCCATGGTGGCTGGGCATCGAGGTTTTGAGGAAGTTGACATCAAAGGCAAGAGACCCATGCTTCGATACTTGACTTGGTGGGTTGACTCAACAAGGGTCCAATTCGTTTGCCCCCCCCCCCCCCCCCCAAAAGGGGGCCTTCAATCCCAAAAGGACCAGAGCCTATTGTGATGCCTCATGGAGGCTTCTTTTTGGAAATCCTAGTCTAGGTCCTCCAGTAGAGAGCTTAGAATAAGGGTACCGTTTCTTTCTTCGGTTTTGTCTATTTCAGTAGGGGAACCCAAAACCCCAACCCCAACCAAGGGGTATGAGAGGTCGGGCACCAATTGCTGGACCTAGACTGGTTTTTCCTTGCGGGGCCGGGCCATCGCCGCTGACGAGCTCTCCCCGCGGGTCCCGGGCCGTCGCAACGGATCTGTTCGATGGAGTGCCATCCCCCGCCTCGGTACGTGACCGAGTCCGGGTGGGAATGAAACGGTTTTGGGGATTCCAATAGAAATCATGGGGGATGGTTTGTAGGGCTCATTCCTGGACACGTTGTTTGAAAGGAAAACCAAGTGAGCTTATTCTCAGCCAAGCGTGTCAAAAGGCAACCTCTGTTCACACCATGTGCATCTGTGGCTTGAGAAAAGCCATGGGGTTGCTTGAAAGCGCAACCATGAAGGACACCATTCCTCATATTAGGGTTTCAGCAGAATTTCTATGGTACGTGGGGAGTTGACAAAACTCGGCCCAACTTCTGAACCCCCAAAAGGGGCCCCGTTTCCGAACGTGCGGAGAAAAAAAAACAGAGTCCCATAGGCAGGCATATGGACGGCTGGCTGAGGCCCATGTACGGAATCCATGTCAGCTTCAACAAATGTGGAACAGGTCCCAAAGGAGCATTTTGTCACCCACCTACATGCAGTCGCTTGCATAGCCGTCGGAGCACATTTGCTCGATCTTGTTTTAGCCTTCGTGTCCTCTTCAACTACCTGGGGGTTGTCGCCCCACCAGTGCCGAACCCGTGTCAGATTGGCACTTGCACCTATCACTTGTCTTCAACTTGCGTCAGGTTGGCACTTGCACCTATCAGTCTCTTGGCTGTGGCTGGAACAAATGCACCAAAAATGGCACCTTGGAAAATGGAACCAGAGACTAAAACCGCGTAACCCTAGCCTAACCCTAGCTCTTGAATTTTGAGCCACAGCCTCTTCAACTGGCAAGGCAAGCTTTCCCTCACAGCAGCGAAATCGAAACAGCACGCGCCTTGGCGCGCATCTGGGTATGGGTCAAAAATAAGCCACCACAAGAACCGCAGGATTTAGTCCTTGTTTCCATTTACCAGGGTTCCATTTTGTGTACCTATTTTTGACTCACACCCATCCCAAGGGCCATCCATCCGAGTGCGAGGCGTTGATGGGGACGTATCTGGTGTGCAGCTGGCCGCCCTCAGGTTCAACATGCTCCCGTCACGTTTGGAGGGAGGGTGTTTTCACCAAGCCATTGCCAGGATAAGAAGAGGAAGAAGACGAAGAAGAAGAACAAGAAGAAGACAAAGAAGAAGGAAAACACCACACCAGCGTTGTCCCAACTGAGCCGTGGTGTCCTTATATACCCTCTGAATCTGCATTGTGCTTCAAATGTGGGCCCAAACCAAGGCTTCAAGTATGGGTTACTGAAAGCGCCGATTTCAAAAATGACATCTTATGAACTCATATTACATTGCTATCTCCAAGTTCTGCAACTCCAACATTAGAAAACAGGATTCTTGTTCAAAATGGAGGGTTGGCCAGTCCTAATCCATCATCCCTGTAGGGAAGCCAACAGAAAGGGGACCGGTTCCTTGCGTAACTCAGGGAAGGATGAAGGATTCCCCGGGAACAGCCCAGACTGTTTCTATACCAAAACCCGAATTGGATCCCCGGCATAGCTCTCAGCTCTCAGCTCGAAACCTGCAGGTGAATGGACCATCATAGTCACCCGTGCCCCGGAAAAGAGGTGGCCCTGGGATTGAAACCAGAACAATGGTTGGGTTCATATTTCACCATTGTTTACCGATTGTGATTTTTTTCTGCTACACTGGGTCCTTGCCATTCTTTTACTGGCTCACTTCCCCTTTGTGGATTGGTCTTTACTGGCTGACTTCCCATTTGTGGCTTGGTCCACACAAGTCTAAGCTCTTTGTTTTACCACCAACAATGGTCCAAACCCAAAAAGCAAAAGGCGGCGAAAGTCCGAAACGGAACTCAGGCAGTGAGTTCCATTTTTCGAGCCTCCAGTTTTTCCACAGAGCCTGGTGCAGCAGTGCGGGTGCTCGGCTCCTCCCGACTCTCGACTCCCGACTCCCGACGCCGAGCCGCTGGAGTGGGCGGTGGCAGCGTCGGCCTCGGAAAAAACAAAAAGAACAAATCCGCGCGACGAGTGAAGGGTCCAGCCCGGTGGGGTTCCCTCAGGACACGGAACTCCGAAAAGGCAAGAAGGGAGTTCCCTTGAAATATCTCACTTCCTCAGTGGATGGCCCAGAAAAAGGGCTGAACATTGTGCTTAGCACTAAAATGGTCTTCTAAGAAAGTGTAAAGTCCATGAACTCAGGAAGTGAGATTTGTCTGCCTGCTAACTTGAAGAACGCGGTACGGATTGTAGGGGGCCCTTTCTGCAATACCGTAGGAAGATTCCCAGCCCCTATGACAGGGGAGCCCTTCGTTATCGCCAACTTTGAAATCTGAATCTAAAATGCCACATGTCCCAACTTTAAACAGGTCAAATAAATGTCCCCAAAAGCAACACACCCCGTTGAGTTCACAGTTGCAAAGCTTGAATATTATATTCGCCTTACTTTAAACGCAACTCAACCAGGTACACAACCACCAACCACTATGCCGCACTATGCCCAATGGGTTTTGCTTCATGGGTTGAAGGGAAACCAAAAGGACGCCGCTCTTTTCTTTTGGGGGGGGAAGGGTCCCGTATTTTGACACAGACCCAATAGAAGTTTTCCTGGGCGCTGAAGATTTAGAGGTCTCGTGGATTTCCTCTAAGGCCAGAATGATTAAGATTCCCCTATAACTTTATTTACCTTTGGGCTAGGTCCTCCAGTAGAGAGGTTAGAATAAGGGTACCCCTTTTTCTGTAGTCTAATTTAGTAGGGGAACCCTCCCCCAAAAAGGGGTAAAAGGCCACTACTGGGGGACCTAGTGGGGGTTGGTTCAAAGGGAAACCAAACCGAAAACCACCATTTTCGGGGACACCCCTCTTTTGACACATGCTTGTTTGGGAGTGTCTCACGAGGAATTGGCAAAATGGCAAGGGTGTTCAGTTGCTTTCCATTGAGAACTCCCTATTTGGTTTTGAGAGTACCCCACACACACACACACACACCCAAACCAACTTGGAGTTCCAAAAAGAACACACCTGAGCCGTGCCAAATACTCTTGTGTAAAAAGCGGTCCTATAAACTTGCTTTCGCGGACCCTTTCGCGATGCTTTCGCGACCCCATGTTTTGCTTTCGCGGGCTTTGGTTTCTTTAGAATTGCTTTCGCGACGCTTTCGCGGCGGAGCGTCACACAGCATGCAGGCTTTCGCGGGTCTTTCGCGGCGGGACCTTCTTTGGTTACTTTCGCGATAAGCTTTCGCAAGCTTTCGCGGCCTGCGTTTTGGCATTCGCGGGGATTCTATAGGACACCCCCCTTTACTACTTTGTATTGTCAGGGTTTCTGGCGCTGCTCACCTGTTTCTGGCAGTTGATTCATTGATTCCAGAACGGCTTGCCTTCCAAAAGAAAGAAACAAGGAGATGCGCCAGCGTCCTGGGATTTCTGTCGCCGTACCCGTTTCTTAGGCTTTAAAACAAGCAAAAAGGACATCTTACGTAAAACCCCTTGCATAAAAACCTTGAACTCCTCGAAGTTTCAAGGAGTCAGGTCCGGGAGTCGGGTGAGATGGCCCTTACTTTCACTTCAGCCTTTTTGGCAGGCGCTGCGCTCCTCTTGGGAAGGGGGTAACCCTTTGAAACCCCCAAAAAGGGTAGGACCAAGTTCGCGGACGTCCCCTGAAGTCCCCTTCTTGGGAGTCCTCTTGTTTGGGGCGCCTTTTGTTCTGCCCATAGATGCACCTTCCGCTTGGAAATCCGCGACCGCGGCGCTTCGGATTGGGGCGCCGAGCGCTTCCAAGGAGCCCCCGAGCACATCTGGGGGGCCGCCAGAGATGGCCGAGACGTCGGTGCCTGGACGTGGATGGAGGATGGCTGGGGTTTATGGAACGCAATGGGATGGGCGGATGGATTGATTGGGATGTTTGTTTGGATAGATGGTTTCTGGATGGATTCTGGATGGATTCTGCTGCTTGTTGGGGATTTGAGGTGATGCTTATCTTGCTGGTGCGACAGGCAGGGAATGAGAAATGGAATGATCCCAATAAACCATCCCCTGGTTTCCTTTAAGGAAATCCCCAGGTTCATTCCCTCATTCCCCACTGAGCACCAGCAAGTTATGGAAAAGGGATCCTGAGAAGTCGATTCGCCTGGCCTGTCCAGTCGAGCTTTTGGACGTTCTTCACGATTTCTTGCACCTGCGCCGGCTGAAAACAACAGGTGGCTCCCTCGGGCAGGCGATCTTCCATGGATCCCTCAAGGCCTCAAGCACTCAGAAAGGCTTATTGGGGTGCGTCTCTTTTTGAGGGTGCCCCTTGTTTTTGTGGTTCAAAGGGAAATGAACTGGAAACCAGCTGGTGATCCCTAGGTGGCCTATAACAAGACTGACAGGGCCTGTTTGGCACATCCATTTCACAATCGCTCAACCTCAGAGAACCTCAAATTCGCCCTCGAGGAACACATCCTTTCACAGGACACCACCAAAGGTTCAACACGGTTCAACGCGCGAATCTTCATGCAAGCTCGGGAATTCTAGGCAAATCCTTATGCTGTACTTCACCAACCGACACTGAGAGAGATTTTTAGGGAAGACCCTTCATGGGTGACTTCGCAACTTTAGTGAGGTCGTTGTAATTTGCCTATCGACTCTCGACTGACTTCAACAATCAGAATGATCTCGACCAAAGCAGCTGACGAAAGAAAGAAAAGAAAAGACAAGAGCCTTTGCCCGCATTCGCCAAGCCCAAGGATTCACTCGAAGCTGGGGGTCCAATAGTTCTCGTCAACATTTGTGCGCCCTGTTGGCCCTGCCAGGGGCTATGGCTATCCTGGGGGAAGAGCCAAGGATAAGCCCTGAAGGAGGCCGTATTCATGGGATAGGTCATAGCCCGCCCGAATTCCATAGGCCCCTTGGAGGTCCACCACTGTAGCTTGCTTGGTCGGGTGCCAAAATTTGCGCTTCTTTCTGGGCCACTGTTTTCATTGGGGCGGCTGTTCTTCCCACTCACGCGGGAGAACCCTCCGACCTTCAAGGCCTTTTGCAACTTGTTAAAGGCTCAAAACGCGAATGAAGCTATGAAGGCCAACCCCTCCCCACTGCTTCAGTTGTTTTTTGTTTCCGCGTGCAACGCACGCTGAGATGGAAGCGTGAATTGTTCTTGTTGTTGGTTGTGTCTTTGTTTCGCGTTGTTCTGCTTCTTCTTTCCTGTCTCTGGTTTTCTTTTGGGTTCCCGGGCTGCTCTTGCTTTTTGGTTCGGGGGGGGGGGGGGGGAGAAGAAGCCGGTGGTTTTCTCTTGGTTCTTGGCCGCTCTTGTGGCCCTGGCCTCCACCACCTTGGGGATGTGCTTCGTGACCTGCGCGACAAATGCGCCACTTGCGCCCTTCTTGGCAAGGGGGGCCGGAACCATACTCCACAAGTTTGAGCGCAAACTCACATTTGCTCAAGGTTCCTGGAAAAAAACACATATGTCCAGTAGATTCCCTTTGCAACCAACAGGGGGAAATGACAAATATTTGTTTCGGCAAATGCAAGCAGAAAGGAGGTCCGCTGCACCAAAACGCATCTCTCCCTCTTCAAAACCGAGGGTTGCAAGCACGTGATGCTTCAAACCTCCCAAACTAATCTTATTTAGAATGGCGCAAGCCCATTTTAGGTGGGATCCAAGCAGCCTTGGGAGGGTGTCTGTTTACTCACTTAATTGCGACTCAGACATGTACTTGCGGACGGCTGCTTGCGGCGTTTTTGGGCTCTCGCGTCTTTCAGCTGCAAGAACCAGCTGGAGTTGCAACCTGTACAACTTGACGTCCTTGCGGCCAGAACAGCCCAAGATATCTTGCCTTCCGGGCTCCGAAAAGAGCCACAGGGGAATCTGAGCAGTTTCTCAGCTTCAAAACTGTTGTGCTGTTCTTTAACCTGCTTCGAGCCAGGTTTTCTCCAACCCCCGCTCAAAAGGAACCCTTTCCTTCGCCACTGGGATAGTTTGCACATCTCCGCACCAGAAGGAGACTCAATCGCACAACGGTCAAAGAGTCAAAAGGGTGATATTTTGATGTTGGGTCCACCCACAACTTATTTTCTGGGTCATTGGTGTTGATCATGTTTCAGGCCAAATGGCCTCATGTTTCAGGGTCTTCTTCAGAGGGAAGACCGGTAAAACCTTATTCGTTGGAGGGCAAACCGACCGCTTTAGGCCTGGACCATGAGCCCTCTTTTTGTAGTTGATTTCAAAGGGGAAGCCTTCCCAAAGACAAGGCAACAAGTGCTGGGGGTCTGGATGGGTTTCTCTCGACTCAAAGGGACCTCGAAAACAAGGCGACAAACAAGCTCTGGGGGTCTGGCTAGGGGGGGGGTTCTTCCTACCCAACCGGATCTCGGGACTCAAAGCACCTCCTGGACATGGATCTCCGGATGCTCCACTATCCTCTCTTGCACCTGGCGAGAGCGGAGGTTCTTCAAGCCAAGAGAGAAACACCAGTCTGAGCAAAGATTTGGTTGTCGACTTGAATTGAATGCGTTGCTTTTTGAGGTTACCTTCTTTCTGTGGTGTTCAAGGGAAACAAAGGGACAACTACATATACATGTTTTGGTTTTTCCTTTTTTTTTCTCCTTTTTGTTTTTTCTTCTTTCGGGGGGGGGGGGGTAAAAAAAGACAAACCCTAAACAAGTTAAAACAAGGACATGTCCTTGAGAACAAGGCCCAGGATTGGCAAGACTCGAAGTGCACCAGGTCGCCATCTCAAACTTTGAAACAAACAAACGGAAGCCGACCAAATAGGCTTTTCGGAACCACGGGAAGCCTCATGGATGACTCTTGAGAAAAAGGGCATGGGTTGCTGGTGCATAAACAAAACGAAGGATTGACCTGAACCATCCGGTGTGGTTTTCCTCTTCAGGGATCCCTTCATTCTTTAACCCCCCTCTTGCCCCGAGAGCCAGTAAGATGTTGGTTTGCTTTTTGCGCCCCTGCTAAAAGTGACAAACTTTTAGTCAATATACCCGCACCTGTTGGGTTTCTAACGGCCTCAGCTGACCTGCACATGAGAAGATGGTTGGACCTCGGCATGAGCGACTTCCAGATGGACGCGTGTTGCGCCTGGACGCAAGGGACCTCTATGATCCTCTCGCGGGTCTCGATCACGGGTTTCTTCACCTGAGTCGAGTCGAAACCGATGTCGAGTGGGTGAAACAAAGGTTGGTGTGTGCCAGGCCCTCCATTGAACAAAACAAGCGCCAGTTGGAAAAACAACCCCTCTTGGCTCCCATGTAAAGGACCCAGTTTAAACCCCAAGGTGGCAATGAACAGGGGCCGCTTCAGAAGCACCTCCTTGGACCCGCAAAAACTTTAGGGTTTTTAAATGATACGCAGGGGAGGTTTTGATGGTGAGATCCTGGCCCGAACCCATAGGCTCGATCTAGGTTTCTTTGGACCCCCTAACCTATACCCCCCCGACACCGTTTTTTGAATGAAGATGGCCGGGACCAGGTTCAATTCTTCAGACCACTCATGGGGATGGACACCCAGACACAGAACTCAGAACATTTTCCCATAGGACCTATAGCAGGGTTGTCCTTTTGCTTGGCATACCTTGAAAAACGGAAGCCTACACTCATCAGCAGGGTGGGAATTTGCCACCTCCGGGAGTTAATCGTTTCCGCGCGGTACCAAAAAGGAAGGGCCCTTCCCACCGCCCAGATTCCCTTTCGGTTCTGCAAGGTGGGTCTTTGACATGGGCAAAAAAACGGAAAACCAAAAGCCAGTGCCGCATGAGCCCGCTCAGTTCATGGCCAACGCTCTGTGTGCACATGCTACGTCTGAACGTATGCGTGTATGCATGCATGCAAGCATGCATGTATGCCTGTGCGTGTATGCATGTATGCATGTATGTATGTATGTATGTATGTATGCATGTATGTATGTACGTACGTACGTATGTATGTGTGTGTACATATGTTCGTACGTGCATACACAAGTGTGTATGTGTGTATGTGGGTTTGCGTGTTGGTGTATATATGTATGTATGTGTGTACGTGGGTATGTGCGTATTTGGGCATGCGCATATGTACGCATGCATGCATTTTTGTATGGATCGATAGATGGGTGGATGTGTGTATGTGCGTAGGCGCGTATGTGTGTATGTGCGTGTGTGCGAATGTGTGTTTGGTTGCATGTATGTTTGTAGATATCTATTTGTGTATGTGTCCGTGTGTGTACGTGTGTTTGCGTAGTGTAGGTGTCTGTACTTGTGGATCTGCGTGTGCATTTCTATGCATGTGCATTTGAGTCTTGAGTGTACGGGTGTATGAGTATGTATGTATGTATCTATCTATCTATCTATCTATGTACCCTGACATTCAAAACCCCTTTTAAACAAAGGGGTTCTATTAACCCCCCTTTCTTTCTACCGTCGAGGCAGGGAGGGGGACTTTTAGGGTCACCCAGGTTGGCACAAATGTGTTTTTTACACTCGGCGAGTTCACGCCAACCTTGCGCGGGTAGAGCAATTGCAACCCGTTCCCCATTAACTGAATCTAGGTGCTTTTTGATCTTTAGCTTGGTGGATAATAGCCAGCGAAGCTAACAACTGCTACCAGCACAAAAGCACTACGTAGCGACGCGGTGCAATAAAAAACCTACAAAGTGCCTGAGTTTGCGAGTGAGTCGGATGAGCATGTTTGTAGACACCTTGTGTGCACCCAACCAATGACGAATCAACAAATATGTCAGACCAACACTGCGTGTGCGTTTCAGAAAAACCTGTGCGCTGATTGAACGACGTAGCGTTGTGTCCAGGACATTGCATCTTCATCCAAAAAGCAATGAGTCATTCTTGGGTTTTCCCCTGCAAGCCATTGTTGACTACCAAGACCTCAATTCAGTAAGATGCACTGCTGCAATTACTAGGTGAGCCAGCCGAACGCTGGAGACAAGTTGCGGTGGGTCCGGATCCGGTCGAGCTGGTGAAAAAAACGCATCATGGGCAACTGCAAAAGGTATATATCAGAGGTTCTTGTCAACACAATCGATTCTATAAAGCCTTCGAAAGCTTCATGGATGAATTCAAGAGGCATGTGCCTTTTGGGCAAACAAGCCGCTGAGGGCGGACGGGTTGACTCACAAGCTCAGGTATCACGGAAAAACATCGGTTTTGGGGTGTGCGTGGTTCACGCAAAACAAAGGGGGTTCGCGCAGAATAAAGAGGGTGCACGCTAAGTTCACAGTAGTTTCACGGTCCTATTATATTCTTGCAGCACTGGCATGCCGATTGCGCGTGGCAAATACAACTTCTTCCCCGATAGTATAGCGACGCACTCATCACGTACGAGCTTCCTATGCAATGCAGCGCTGCAAGCTGGCTGGGCACGCGCGCACACATGGCATAGCACTCGAGTACGCGGCTCATATGGTCATGTTCATAAAGAATAGTCAAGTGCAAATTCATGGCCGGGCCGCCCAGCCAATTCTTGTAAGGGTCACCCAGCACGCGGACGCACACATGGCTTACTTCTGATGCCTTCTGGCTACATGGGGCATGAAAAGCAAGCAGGAGCTCTACACATCCAATGAGCACGGTCAACGCAGCTGGCAAGCACGATCAGCAATCTAACCATCGCGGCCATCGGAACAAAATGGCGTGTGAGCACCAGATCGCGCTTCCGGCGAAGGAAACGCTTTAGATCAGAAAGTCCTGCGTGCCTCCAGCCATGGGGCCCCTGCGACACCCATATCATAGAAAACCACGCTGTGCACCAACGCTACATCCTGTAGCTTTCATTTAAGCTGGCACGCATCATCCCACCGGGCCTGAGAAGCAAGCAATGTCAATTATACAAATTCTAAACGTCATGGATATGTCACGCTGGGATGCTTGGCCCCCCCCAGCAAATTCACGAATAAACGACTCCATCATTCAACTTCACAACTGATCAGCGTATGATCTATGTCAATGTGTTAGTCCAAAGGGCCCTACAGGAGGGCAAGTGAGTTTGAGGAGCAACCTAAGCCTAAAACTAAACCCTAAACGGGGGGCAAGTGAAACCCAAAACCTGAACCCTAAAGTGAGGGTGTGAGGGCATGTTAAGCCCAAAACTAAACCCTAAACGGGCCGGGGGGGGGGGGGGGTTGAGGGCAAGTTAAACCCTAAACCTGAACCGTAAATGGGGCAAGTTGAGCCAAAGGCTGGAAAGAGACCAGAAAGTGCACCAAAGTGGTTCTGGGCGAACCACACGTGCTGCGTGTAGTTGTAGCAGTGGAAGTGGTAGTGGTAGTGGTAGTGGCAGTGGTAGTGGTAGTGGTAGTTGTAGTAGTAGCAGTAGTGGTAGTAGTAGTAGTAGTTGTAGTAGTAGTAGTAGTAGTAGTAATAGAAAGAAACGCTGACTGCGCACTGGAAACGCCCCCTGGGTCAAAAAAAATCAATGCCAAGAAAAGTGTTGAATGTGAATAAAGCTGACTGCGCACTGCCCTCCCCCTCCTCCCCGGACAGCCGGGGGAGTCTCAAATGGACAATGACCGAAGTTTCCTGACATTAAAGGTAACACATTGACTACAACCAAAAGCACCGCGCAAAGAGACTCAATTGTTGAAAAAAACGTAAATGTCAAGAAAGAGGGCTCCATAAATGATAAATGCCGGGAAAACGCGCAATGTCAAACAAGAATGTGCTTCCCCGAATTGTATGGTAGCACACTGCACGAATACCGAAAGCATACTCTTAATAAAGCAAACAGTGTTTTTTAATGTCAAACAACACGGAGCCATGGGTATGTAACTATAGATGGAGGGATGGATGGATGGATGGATGCATGCATGGATGGACGGATGAATGCATGGATGGATCGATGTATGGATGTATGGATGTATGGATGTATGGATGTATGGATGTATGGATGTATGGATGTATGGATGTATGGATGTATGGATGTATGGATGTATGGATGTATGGATGTATGGATGGATGGATGGATGGATGGATGGATGGATGGATGGATGGATGGATGGATGGATGGATGGATGGATGGATGGATGTGTGTTGTGCATGCATGCACATGTGCATGTGCATTTGCATGTGGGTGTACGTCAGTGAGAACGTAAGTAAGTATGCATGTGTGTGTGTGTGTCTGTGTGTGTCTGTGTGTGTCTGTGTGTGTCTGTGTGTGTCTGTGTGTGTCTGTGTGTGTCTGTGTGTGTGTCTGTGTGTGTCTCTGTGTGTGTGTGTGTCTGTGTGTGTGTCTGTGTGTCTGTGTCTCTGTCTCTGTCTCTGTGTCTGTGTCTGTGTGTATGCGTGGCATGCATGTATGCATGTAACTATGACGTGTATGCATGTATGTATATTTGCATGCGTGTATCTATGTATGTTTGTATGTATGCATGCATGAATGCATGTACGCTTGTGCGCATGTTATTCATTGTGCATACCTTTCCATCGTCGGTATACATTATGGTTGTGTGTCAAAATAAGAAAGCCTCATTAATTTAAAGTTATAAACAGCAACAGACAGGACAGCCTCCTGGAGGTTGCCCATGTAGAAAAACATGCATATAGTCTTGGAATGGGAACCCAGGATTATGAAACCTGTGGTTGACTTTTCATGTGGGGTCCCATTCAAGAATCCATTACAAGGGAAAAAGCACCTTTTAATCCACGAGGTCTTGTTTTCTTCGGCCGCATTCCTTCCGAGGCACGTGTCGTACGATCTCCTGGATATGCACCTTGGGCACCTGACGAAGGAAACAAGACAAAAGTAACAAGGGACCAACAAAAAAGGACCAATCTAGGGGCCAGCTTACATACCCCGGATGGACATAGCACACCTATAGGCCTTATTTCGGATGGTTTTTGTCAGTGACTCATGGTTGGACACATCCACTCAGGCGGAAAAGGAGGTGGGCCCTCCCATATCGAAACGAACCCATGCAAGTGGTGTTTGCTGTTTTTGCCTTTGCTTTCTATTTCATAATATGAACTTATTCAACCTTCCTCCCTACAGTGGCCTGCACAGGTAGCTTCCGCGAAGCGTTCTATTATTCGAAGACCGCTTCCGCAAGCTTCCGCACGGGTTACCTGAAAATCGAAGAACAAACAACAATCCAAACCACCACTGAAAGATCGAACAATCCTAACCACCAAGAACCACAATCCGAATCCAAGGAGAGCCGGCCACGCCGGAAAACGAAGAAACGCGCCTCCACTACCTTCTCGATGGTTTGGATGTGAGGAACCTCCACGATACGTTCTTGGACCTGCACCTCCACCTGGCCGACGTCCACCAGGTCCAATTTGGGCTCCCTACTGATGTGTGCGATTGATGTTTCGGTGCAAAAATATGAAACTTGGGCGTTGAAGCTCTTTTCGGACATTTCAAACCTGCCAATTGTTCGGAATGCCCAATTTGTTCGAATGCCTCGGCTTGTGGGATTTCCGGAAATTTCGCAAAACATTCCCGACAATCTTCGGACACCCAATTTGTTCTGCGTCTCAGAAGTGAAGAAACGGTCCATGGTCCGCACCGGTCCACGTCCCCCCCCCCGCTGGATGGACCCATACCATTTAGGGGGGGGCTGGGGACTGGGAACATAGAAATATATGTATATATATATATATATATTGACATACATATATATATATATATATATAGTGATTGCCATCAATAAACTCGCTTGCTCAAATCAGAAAAACACATTCAGCACTTTTGTCCCTCCCCCCAGTTTTGGAGGGCCGCACCCATTTTCGCGGGGGGGCTTGTACTTCGTCCTGTGTCAAACCATAAACCCCAACTCCCATTTCCACAGGGGGTCAGGAGGGGGGGAACCATGGACCCCCCCCCACCCGACCCGCCACCCATCCCACAGGGGGGCGGGGGGCTTGTACTGTCGCACTGTGCTACCTTGACTCAGCATGACCATTTGGGGGAGTGGGGGGTTGGGGGGGGCCCAAGGAAGACTGGAAGATATATGAAACTATATGTAAATATATATATATATACCATTGTTTTCTGAGGTCTCGCTCAAACCAATTTGATATTTAGGGTAGACAGGTAGACTAAATATGAAACACACGGCGGAGAATGAAATACCAGCACCCCCAAAGCAACCACTGCTTTTTTGACAGTTGGGATTTTGGACATGGTTGAAAAAGCGCTGCTGGGGGGCCCCTGGTAATTTTGATGTT